TGTAAATTTATATGAGTATATTTTTCGATGGAAACTTTCGTAGCTGGTAAAATGTATATATTAGCTTCCTACCTTTTTTAGATGTTATAATTATTCATTTGTTCTATCATATAATATTTCGAAACAATGGAAGTCCGAACTAATAGAATTCATAATTTTTCGAATTAACATTGTGATTTTGTGAGATTTCCTGTTCATCTAAAGACAACTATCAAGTTCTTTGTTAGAATAAGTTTAAAATGATTTTGAGTTTTTTACTGTTGTGATAATCACTATCAGGAAAATAAGTTTCGTTGGTGACGCTACTGAAAACCAATCAGTGACAATAATACAATGAACAATATTCTGCCGGAAACAAGATATAAACGAACCAACAGCATTCTTGTGGAAATAAGCCAGACAGACTTTAGTGTCCACTGATCATCTGATACGAATTCAGGCGATCAGATGATTTCTGACTCACGGAAGAATATTTCTTGTCCTAGTTCAAGGAATTTAACGATTTTGCAGTAGTTTCATTCGACTAAATATCATCAATATTCAAAATATTTCCACAGCGTGCAGTAAAACTCTACCCGAAACGACAAAAAAGGGATAATCGGTATAAACAATTCTATAAACAAATTTAGGAGTTTGACGTGTCATGTATCAATGATAACGAACTGTAAACAAATCAATCGTATGATTATAATATATGAATTTTTTAACAAATATATTAGAACAGTGAACGAAGAATAAAATATCTCAATTAGTTATAGGCCGAATATAAATACATTGATTTTAATTTTTTATGATGAATTCAATTTAAATAATTATATTATTTTTTTCTATGACCATTGAGAAGAGTATCAATTATTTTACCGTTTCTTGTTGAGTAAGTAGACAAAATTGTCCGTAACACACAATTTCGAATCAATTACAATGGTTACTTGTAATAACTTTATAACTCACTACCTGTAGGCCAATCACAGAAAAGCAAATTCATAACTTTTCAGTTGTATTTCAATTATTTTCAATCGGAAGTGAGCCTTGATAATTACTTACTTCAATTTTATTCATTGAACTGATAGTTTATTTGAAAATATTTAGGTAGATTATAACGAAAACCAAGAAAAAAAATATCGACTAGGAAAGTAAAAAGAAGTGTACCCTACTAGAATTTTGTAATGTATTGAAAAAATCACAATGAAAATGTCCCAACTCCCAGATATCTACCTCCATTACATATTCATTATTTCATGGACAAATCGCCGCTGAAGACAGAAGCCAGTATACCAAATGAACTATTTTTTACACGCTTTATATTAGCTTCACTAATATGTATGTATGTATGTTTGTTTATTTGTAACTCTCAAGCTCGGGATCTGTATTTCACAGAATTATCGAAATTATTGCTTGATCTACTCGCGGGCAGATGGCGCTGTACGTAACTTCCTTGATATATCGACACTATTCCTTGAAATGCCTGAGC